AGCGCCACTTCCAGTTTTCTAGTGGTTCATTGGAGATAAGAGTCTCACGGCCTTTCCTGCCCGGGCTGGCTTTGAACTGCGATCCTCAGATCTCAGCCTCCTGAGTAACTAGGATTACAGGCGTGAGCCACGGGCGCCCGGCCCAATTTTCAATTCACCTTGAACTTTGTGTTTCTCCTCCTCTAGAGGACTCTCAGCCAACTCTCTGCCCTTTTAGCACCAGGACCAGAGGCAAAAAGGGAGGTAAAGGCACAACCCATTTTAAAAGATGCCACAGGGGCTGGGAAGGTGGCTCAGTGGTAGAGTGCTTGCCTTGCATGCATGAGGCCCTGGGTTCGATTCCTCAGCACCACATAAGCAAAAAGAAAAAAGCCGGAAGTGGCGCTGTGGCTCTAGTGGTAGAGCGCTTGCCTTGAGCTGAAGGACAGAGTTCAGGCCCCACGACCGGACCCCAAAAAAACCAAAAACATAAAAGATGCCACAAAGCTGGGTATAGTGGCACATGCTTGTAACCCTAGCTACTTTGGGAGGTTGACATCTAAAGATCACAAATAGAAATCAGCCCAGGTAGGAAAGTCAGTGAGACTCCTAATTCCAACTGACCACCAGAAAGGCAGAATTAGAGCCAGCCTTTAGAAAAATAGCTATAGAAGAATGCCCAAGCCCTGAGTTCTAGTCCAATCATGGCACGAAAATAATAATGATGATGATGATGATGATTTAAAATAATAAAATTAAAAGCTCATCAGTATCTTTGAATAAAGTTTCAGGAGGAAAGATATCAAGCGTCCAGCCAGGCGCTGGTGGCTCACGCTTGTAATCTTAGCTACTCAAGAGGCTGAGATCTGAGGATTGTGGTTCAAAGGCAGCCTGGGCAAGAAACTCCACGAGACTCTTATCCAGAAAACTGGAAGTGGCACTGTGGCTCAAGTGGTAGAGCGTTTGCCTTGAGCTGAAGAGCTGAGGGGCAGTGCCCAAGCCCAGAGTTCAAGCCCCACAACCGACAAAAAAAAAAGATACCAAGCGTCCATAACCATCCTTTCCCTCATTTGATCAGTGCAAGCAAATTGACTTAAAGAATACAAAACAACAACAAAGAAAGCAATAAGTAAGATTGTTTATTCTTTTTTCCTTTTCTTTTTTTCAGTGGTGGGCCTTGAACTCTGGGCCTGGGCACTCTCCCTCAGCTCTTCAGCTCAAGGCTGGCATTCTACCACTTGAGCCACAGCGCCACTTCCAGTTTTCTGGTGGTTTACTGGACATAAGAGTCTCATAAACTTTCCTGCCCAGGCTAGCTTTGAACCATGATCCTCAGATCTCAGCCTCCTGCGTAGCTAGGATAACAGGTGTGAGCCACTGGTGGCCAGGCTTAAGATTGACTATTCTTAATATAAACCAATGGTTATCTCTGATGCTGGATGCATTGCTTTCCATGAGGAGGCCCCACTCCACTCTTCCTGTATCTCCTGTATTTTTTACTCTTTTCTAATCAGTTTAGAACATTATAACTGCTAGCCCAAAGTAAGAAATGTTTCAATCAGGCTCTTTCAGTTCACACAGATACCCTGGGGGGGAGGGAGGGCAGGGGCAGATGGAATGTATAACTATATTCTCGGAGGAACTGTAGGTATCCAAGTGCAGCTATGCAGATGCCAAGAGTTCAAGAGAATCCTCAAATAAACCTTTTAATCCAGATGGAGAAAAAATTCAAAAATCAAGTTGACAAACCAATCAATAATATGCTTTGTTTTTCTGATACCAAAAAAGAAGGAGAAAGAGAAGGAGAAAGAGGAGAAGGAAGAGAAAGAGCAGAAGGAGGAGGAGGAGGAGGAAGGAGGAGGAGGAGAAGAAGAGGAGGAGGACAAGGAGAAGAAGAGGAGGAGGAAGAGGAGGAGGAAGAGGAGGAGGAAGAGGAGGAGGAAGAGGAGGAGGAAGAGGAGGGGGGGATAGGGAAAGAGGCAAGGAGAAGTTAGAGGGAGATAGAGGAAGAGAAAAATGAAGGGAGAAAGAAGAAAGGAATGGAGAAAGAAAAAAAGGAAGGGAGGGAGGGAAGGAGACAGGCGGAAAGTGCTTTCCATCCCATATGGTCCTGCTCTCCAAAGAGTAAGGGTGAAGATTGAGGGTCAGGGGAGCCTGTGACTCATGCTCTCCACATAACACCCACTATAATAACGCACAGCAAGAGTCAAGACCCAGATATGAATGACGCCCACACATCCAGCAACTGAATTCAGCAACAAGAGGGACATGGTAGTCACAGGCAGGAAAAAGACAAAGACTAAGAGAGTAATATAGACTCCCACTTTTACTTCCAATGAATGTTCTTTCCTCTCATGGAACATTCATTCCTCCACCTCTGGAGGCCTGCTTGAAAAAGAAACACTAGATAGGGCCAGCACCTCAGGGGGGAAAAAAAAAGTGTGACCCTCCAATTCCTAGCCAGGTCGCAACGTCCGGGTGAGGCTCCAACACAAACATCATCCTTGGAGGACACAGCAAATTAAGCCTGGCAAACCTCATGTTCAACACCAGAACACTGCAAACGACGTTGTCATAAAATAAGAGGTGATCAAATTCAGTCCATACAAACATACCTTCAAGTTTTTTTTTCTTCATGTTGTTCCCTATCATTTTTAGGGTCACTTGGCCAGTGAGCAAGGTGTCACCTTGGACCAGTCATGCTCCTTAAAGCACTAATTCCCCCAGGGCATGGTGGCTCATGCCGGTAATCCTAGCAATCCAGGAGGATGGAAGTATGAAGATGGGGGGGGGGGGGGGGGGGGCAGGCCACGGCAGGAAAATAAGACTCCTATTACCAAGTAACCACCAAAAAGCCATAAGTGGGGCTGTGGCTCAAGTGGAAGAGTACTAGCCTTGAGTATTAAAGCTCAGGACAAGCCAGGTGCTGGTGGCTGAGGCCTGTAATCCCAGCCACCCAGAGACTGAGCTCTGAGGATCACAGTACAAAATCAGCCCGGGCAGCAAAGTCCATGAGATTCTCATCTCCAATTAACTACCAGAAAACTGGAAGTGGTGCTGTGGCTCAAGTGGTAGAGCACTTTCCTTGAGCTGAAGAGCTCAGGGACAGCGCCCAGGCCCAGAGTTCAAGCCCCATCACCAATAAAAAATAAAAGCTCAGTGCCAGGCAACAGTGGCTCATGCCTGTAATCCTAGCTACTCAGGAGGCTGAGATCTGAGGATCAGCGTTCAAAGCCAGCCTGGGCAGGAAAGGCCATGAGACTCTTATCTCTAATAAACCACTAGAAAACTGGCTGTGGCTCAAATGGTAAAGCAGTTGCCTTGAGCTGAAGAGTGCAGGGACAGCACCCAAGCCCACAACTGACAAAAATAAATAAAAATAAATAAAAGCTCAAGACAGGGCCCAGGCCCTGAGTTCAAGCCCAAAGACGAGCACACAAAAAGCACACAGATACCGTTGAATCAAGAAGTCTACACTGTGTTACCTTTACAAGACTTGATCACACACCACGTAAGTTTAGCCAGGCATGCTGGTGCATGTCTGTAATCCTAGGGGCTTGGGAGTCTCAGAATTTAGGATGGAGGTTCATAGCCATCCAGGCAGAAAGTTCATGAGACTCTTATCTCCAATTAACCAACAAACAAGCCAGAAGCGGAGCAGTGGCTCAAGGGATAAGCATTTCAGCCTTGAATTGAAAAAAGCCAAGTGAGACAGCAAGATCCTGAGTTCAAGCCTCAGTAAAGGAAGAAAGAAAAGAGAAACTTACACTGTGTTACCTTTTCGGGTCTTGTTCACATCCAAGAGTAAATTTAACTCATAAACACACGCACACCTGATCACAAATATCAACCACAGAACTTAAAGGACCTCATTAGCTTGGCTTCTGGAATGAAAATTCCTCACATTTATGCGAAAACCATCATGTCCACCGGAGGGGAAGAGGGGGCCTCGCCCAATAGCTGTCATGTTCCTAGAGTGTTCTCCTCCTTTCAATCTAAACAAACCCCGGGTTTTTCCTAAGAGGACAGACTCAGATTATAACCTTGACCTTTTCAAAGACTCTTGGTTTTAATACCTGCTATTCCTACCTACCAGACAGAAAAAGCCTGAGAATATTTATTGTCAACACTGAGGTAGGAACAAAGAGAACTCCCTCCCCCCCCCCCCCCACACACACACTTTAAGGCACCCTCTGCGGTCAAAGCTTGAGAAAGTCAAACAGGACCTTGAAGGGGACGGGGGACGGGGTGAATTTAGGAAGCCTGAGCGGTCTACAGCCTGACCATTCTTCAGGGGTCCCCTAGTCGCTGTGGAACCTTCTGCCTGACTATCAGAGCCATGCGGGGGAGGGCACCCCCAAACCACCAGAATAAGCATGTCTGCGGGCGGGACTCGGGAGCCAGAGTTGTTTTTGTTTTTGTTTCAGCTCTCCAGATGTGCAGCCCAGTTGGGCGCCAGTAAAGGGGCTTCCCCAGAAAAGTATCCTCAACGTCGGGGGTGGGGGGAGGGCGGGGAGGAAGGAAACTCGGGGTGAAGTGAGTACACCCGTGGTACTCACACCAAGTTTTCAAACTTGAGTGTAACTCACTCCAACTCGACAGCCAAGCACCTGTCCGGAGGCCAAACCGTGATGGGAAGTTGGAAGCGCCCGTGCAAGGGAAGGGAAGGGAATGGGAATGGGCTCCGAGCCCAGGCGCGTGGGCGCGCGCGCAGGGGGGCCCGGCGGGCACCCAGAAAGCGTGGACCCCAAGTCATTCCGCTCCTAGGGGATCGGAACCGGCATGCGGGGAAGTGAAGTCCCGTCGGGCAGGAGAGAGACCTCGGCGCTCCCAGCTGTCACTCGAGCCCGCAGGCGCCTCACCGTCCAGCTCAGACCCGCGCGCCCGGCGGCGGCGGCGGGCACCGAGGAGGACGCGCGCGCGGAGAACGCGCACCCGGGATCCCCGCGGTCCCTGGGTCCCCCAGTCCCCCCCACTTGCCGCGCAGGAGGCTCCCCTACTCCCGCTCCGAGCTTACTTACCCCCCGCCAGCCTCCTCCTGGGTCCCGGTCCTAATGCCGCCCGGAGAGCCCGGCCTGAACGCAGGCACCGCGGCGCCGCCAAGAGGCCGGGCCAGCCCGCGCCCCGCCCCGCCCCGCCGGGAGCCGCCCGCCCGGCCCCCGCAGCCAGAGGAGGGGGAGAGGGGCGGGACGGCCCAGCGCCCCGGGACCGCAGCCCAGCCCCCGGAGTCAGTACCGTGCTCCCCACCCCGCCCTGGTGTGTCCCCAGCGCCCCTGCCCGGCCAGCACCCCGTCCCCACCCCATCTCCAGCCTCACACTCACCCTGCCACCCCTTTGTCCTCGCCCTTCCCAGGATCGATCGGAATGGCCTACCACCTCCCCTCCACGCTCACCAGGGACGCTTCCTCTTCCAGACCTGGCCTCTCCTCTCCAGGAAGCCTTCTGAATTCCATGTCCCCCTCCCCAGCCCCAGCCCCATCCCCTCCCCTCAGGCCCAAGCCCATTTACCCCCAAACTAAGCGAAAGCTCTTGTCTCCTGCCAAACTGGACCTGCACTCTTTTCTGAACACCTGCTGTGAGTGTGTGCTCTGTGTGTGTGTGTGTGTGTGTGTGTGTGTGAGAGAGAGAGAGAGAGAGAGAGAGAGAGAGAGAGAGAGAGAGAGTTTTCAGTAGTCCTAGCTCAGACTCCTTCTGGAGGAAACTGCCATGCCACTGACTAGCTGAACAAAAGGAAAAATGATGTCATTTTAGGGCCTCAGTTTTCCTCAGCTGTCAGTGAGCACAGGATGCCCCCTCCAGTGGGCCGTACCCCATTAGGAAGTGGCCTGTCTGACTAAGCCAATGTTTGCAACATTTTGAGTAAAATCAGCACTTGAAAATGCAACCCTTCAAATAGCAACACCAAAACTCCTAGTGACTCCTCCCAGAAACAGCAGAGGACAAAATGCCACTGAAGGATCGTTTGGTTTTTAATCCAGTCTACGTCCTGGCTCCTTCCAAAGCTGTTACTAAAGCTGCAAGCTATTTTACTTTTTGCCAATGGTTACGGTTTGCCAGGGGAGAAATTTTCAGGAGGAAGAACAGACCAACTTTTCTGTTCACAAAATTCCAGGTTTTAGCCAGGTGCTGGTGGAGGCTCACGCTGTAATCCTAGCTACTCAGGAGGCTGAGATATTTTGTCCCTATCAGACTTATCTCTAATTAGCCACTCAAAAACCAGAAATGAAGCTGTGGCTCAAAGTGGTAAAGCAGCTGGGAAAGTGGCTCAGTGGTAGAGTGCTTGCCTTGCATGCATGAGGCCCTGGGTTCGATCCTCAGCACCATGTAAGCAGAAAAAGCCGGAAGTAGCACTGTGGCTCAAGTGGTAGAGTGCTAGCCTTGAGCTGAAGAGCTGAGGGACAGCGCCCAGGCCCAGAGCTCAGGCCCCATGACTGGCAAAAAAAAAAAAAAAATCAAAGTGGTAAAGCACTAGCCTTGAGCAAAAAGAGCTCAAGGACAGCGTCCAGGCCCTGAGTTCAAGCTCCATGACGGACAAAATAAACAAACAAAAATTCTAGATTGTAACAGAAAATACATGGTATAAAAATATTAGCTGGGTGGACTGGGAATGTGGCTTAGTGGTAGAGTACTGGCCTAGCATGCATGAAGCCCTGGGTTCAATTCCTCAGTACTAAACAGGAGCCGGAAGTGGTGCTGTGATTCAAGTGGTAGAGCGCTAGTCTTGAGCACAGAGAGGCTGGGGGACAGTGCCCAGTCCTTGAGTTCAAGTCCCAGGACTGGCAAAAAAAAAAAAAAAAAAAACTGGGGGAAGGGGTGGACAGTGATTCACACCTGTAAGCCTGCTTACTTAGGAGGCCCAGAGATGTGAGGACTGCACTTTGAAGCTAACCAGAGCAGAAAATCCTTAAGACTCTAATCTCCACTAAACTCTTCAGAAAAAGCCAGAAGTGGTGCTGTGGCTCAAGTGGTACAGCTCTAGCCTTGAGCAAAAGAAGCTTAGAGACAGCACCCAGGCCCTAAGTTCAAGCTCCCCCGTGAACTTCTTGAGAATTATGCTTCCTGCTCCCTTCCCCCAGAATGGCCCACTTATGCTCACAGGGCTACAGGACTTTTCAGGGCTCCAGAGAAGACTGTCCTGGGTGCCTTACCCCCCATTCCCTGGCTCCATGCTCCACCCCACATACACTCCCATCCTGAGAGTTCTCTTTGGGGCAGAAGTGCTTGCTAGAGTGGGAAGAGCCGTGAAAACACAACACATAGTTCTGAGTTTGCCTGGGGCTGCGTGGGCACCTAGGGCTTGTCCACTTCCAGCTCCTGCAGTTTCTCCTGACACCATCTCCCTCACCCTAAGCAGGCACAGAGGAGCAATGCTCACAAGGCACTGTTTTCCCATGAAGAGCTCCTCCAAAACCCTAGAGGTCACATTTCCAGCCAGGTCCGACAACATGACACGAGGTCACTTGTCTGTCCTCCAGGGAGACCAGCCGTGTCCTTTCTACAGGTCTGGCTTAGAAATGGGCTGCAGGGAATTCAAGGGCAGCCTAGGCAAGACTTGGCAAGCAGGCAGGCAGGGAGGAACGGAAGGAGGGTGAGAGGTAGAGAAGTCCTCAGTCACAAACTTTTTGAAGTATTTGTTCCTACAAGTAGTACTAGAAGGGGTTGGGAATGTGGCTTAGCAGTAGAGTGCTTGCCTAGCTTGCATGAAGCCCTGGGTTCGATTCCTCAGTACCATATACACAGAAAAAGCTGGAAGTGACACTGTGGCTCAAGTAGTAAAGAGCTATCCTTGAGCAAAAGCAGTTCAGGGACAGTACCCAAGCCCTGAGTTCAAGCCCCAGGACTGGTAAAAAAAAGTACTAGAAGCCAAGCATCAGTGGCTCACATCTGTCATCTTAGCTACTCAAGAGGCTGAGATGTGAGGATTGCCATTTGAAGCCAGCCCAGGCAGGAAACTTTATATAGGAGACTTATCTCTAAGCAACCATGAAAAAGCCAGAAGTATGTGACTAAAGTGGTAGAGCACTAGCCTTGAGTCAAAAAGCTCAGGGACTGCACCTAGGACCTGAGTTCAAGTCTCAGGAGCAGCACGCATATGCATATGTAAGCGCATGTACATGCACGCGCACACACACACGCACATGTGCACACACACATTATATGTTGCTCCCACATATAATCCTAGGTACTCGGGAGGCTGAAATCTGAGGATCGTGGTTCAAAGCCAGCCCGGGCAGGAAAATCGTAAGACTCTTTATCTCCAATAAACCACCAGAAAACTGAAGTGGCTCAAAGTGGGAAATCACTAGCCTTGATCCAAAAAGCTCAGGGACAGCACCCAAGCCCTGAGTTCAAGCCTCATGAGAGGAAGAGGAGGAGGAATAGGAGGAGGAGCAGGAGGAGGAAGAGGAGGAGGAGGAGGAGGAGGAGGAGGAGCAGGAGGAGGAGCAGGAGGAGGAGCAGAAGGAGGAGGAGAAGGAGGAGGAGAAGGAGGAGGAGAAGGAGGAGGAGGAGGAGGAGGAGAAGGAGAGGAGGAGGAGGAGGAGGAAGAGCAGGAGGAGGAGCAGGAGGAGGAGGAGAAGGAGAGAAGGAGGAGAAGGAGGAGGAGGAGGAGGAGGAGGAGGAGGAGGAGGAGGAGGAGGAGGAGGAGGAGGAGGAGGAGGAGGAGGAGGAGGAGGAGGAGGAGGAGGAGGAGGAGGAGGAGGAGGAGGAGGAGGAGAAGAAGGAGAGGAGGAGGAAGAGGAGGAGGAGGAGAAGGGACTTTACACATCAAACCATGCTATTAAGCTTCTGCTGGAAGTTCTAGATTCCCTTGGGCATACAAACTAGCCAAGTCCTCTTTCTGCCTACAAAAAACAACCCCCCTGCTGGGCTCCAGTGGCTCACGCCTGTAATTCTAGCTACTCAGGATGCTGAGATCTGAGGATCCCAGTTCAAAGCCAGTTCGGACAGGAAAAATCCGTGACTCTTATATCCAATAAACCAGAAAACGGGAAGTGGCACTGTAACTCAAGTGGTAGAGCACTCACCTTGAGCTGAAGAGCTGAGGGACAACGCTCAGGCCCAGAGTTCAAACCCCAAGACTGACAAAATAAAAAAAAACTCTTGGCAAAGTGCAGAGAGACCCACAGAATCTGGCCCAGATCCATAGATAGATAGCGCCATGCCCAGACAGGCCCCTGCTAAACCTGGGCCTGCTGCCGAAGAGTTGCCATCAACTGAAATGCCCCTCTCTTGTGCTCTGCTCTATTTTTTTTTTTTTTTTTTATTCTGGGTCTGGTCATGGGGCCTGAACTCTGGGCCTGGGCGCTGTCCCTCAGCTCTTCAGCTCAAGGCTAGCGCTCTACCACTTGAGCTACAGCGCCACTCCCGGCTTTTTTTTCTTTTTGCTTATGTGGTGCTGAGGAATCGAACCCAGGGCCTCATGCAGGCAAGGCAAGCACTCTACCACTGAGCCACCTTCCCAGCCCATGCTCTGCTCTGCTCTCTTTAAAGCTTTAGCTTAAGTCCTCCTTTAGAGGAACCCTTCCCTTGTTGCTTTTCCCTGGAGGGAGGTTCCATCACAGCCCTTGACTGAAGATCCCTCCAAGGGAGTGCTAAATGCCAGCCTATGGCAGGAGCAAAGTAAATGTAAATACTGACGAACACCACACACAGAGCCAGTGAGGGAATACTTCCATCATTGAGAGCATGTTCCAAAGAACACATTCAATCGCATCAGCCCCAGGCCAACCAAATGCTAAATGACCTTGGACTTGGACTTGCCCGCCAGTCTTGGACTGATTAGGACCCTAAAAGCCTGAACCTCAGGGTCCGTTAGGGGAGATGATATTCATACACCCCCCCTAGGGGAATAGTTAGTAATAGTTAAAGGTCCTGCGTAGCCTTTGGAAAGAACTTATGTTTTTCTTTTTCAGTCAAAGGTCTTGAACTGAGCCTGGGCTCTGTTTCTGAGCTCTCTTGCTCAAAGCTAGCACTCTACCACTTTGAGCCAAAGCACCACTTAGTTTTCTAGTGGTTGATTGGAGAGAGTCTCACATCCTGCCTAGGCTGGCTTTGACCATTGATCCTCAGATCTTAGCGCCTCCTAAGCAGCTAGGATTACA